CAGGGACACGGCCCTGGGGACAGAACTGGTGGCCCAAAGCAGACAGGTACAGTCGGGTTTTGCTGATGGCACAGCCCCAGCCTGGTGGGTGGTGGGTCTCATCTGGCAGCTCAGGGATGGAGCAGCCATCTCCTGAGTGGGACGGTGCTTGTGTCCGATGGTCCTGGACCTCACTCAGCACCTGCAGGCTTTCCCTCCCAGTGATTCCCCCAGCCTTTTCACTCTTCGAAGCCATCACCGTCCCTGCCAGGATGGGGGTGGCTGCTGGGTCAGGTCTGGCCCTCCTGGATGGTGGCACTGGGACATGAGCCTCCCTCCTCCCACAGTCAGGCAATTCATTGCTCCCTTCCCTGGGTCCCAAGGGAGAGGAGGCTCCCAGCCCAGCCCAGCTCCCAGCCCAGCTCCCAGCCCGGCAGCGGGGCCACCACCCCGCGCTTTGGAAAGGTTCTAATTACAACGCGTGTGTAATTAGGTCAGACAGCACTTTAATCGCCACCCGCAGCTCGGGTGGCTCCAGGGCCTGGTTAACAGAGCTGAGGGCACGTTTCCAGGTCCCGCTGACACTTCCCAGTGTAAGTGACCGCGAGTACCTTCCTTCTGAAAAATACCAGCAATATTAATGTTTTTAAAAAGCCATGGAATGACTGTCAGGGGCTGCTGTGACTCGGCCTCACCCGAGTGATTCAGGGAAATCGGTGTCACCCGGGGCTGTTAAGGGACACTGAGGAAGATGATGGTTTGCTGGCACAGGGTCCTGCTTCGCCACAGCTCCTGGTTTTTTGGGGGGATGGCGTTTTTCAAACTCTCTCTCTGCAAAGCAGGAGGGGCCATGGTGAGGAAGGGCCAGCAGCCCCCGCTGTGCCCATCCCGTGTGCCTGCCCCATCCCACGTCCCTGTCCCCAGTGATGCTTTCGGGGTGATGTTTGTTGAGGCAGAGCTGCTGGGATGAACCGCGCTGGGAGTTTTATCAGCCGCACACTTTCACCTCCCTGTTTAATTGTTCTTTAGGAGTGGAGGTGTTTGCACATGGTTGGACTCGATGATCTTAAAGGTCTTTTCCAACCAGAACGGTTCTATGTTTCTGTGATTTTGGGAGCTGGGAGCCTGCGTGCGGTGCCAGTGTCCCCTCTAGGGACTGGAGATGGGATAATGGGTGCTCTCTGATGGCAGCCATCCACTGCCTCGTGCTGACGTGGGGAAATGCTGCTGCCTTCGGCCATTGCCAGCATTTTGGCAGGTGAGAGGAGAAGGGAGCTGCAGGTTCGGGGGGCTCAGCCTCCCACCTCCCCCTGCCTCCACTCAGGAGCTGGTCCCGCAGCCGCAGGTGCCCCCACCCATGCCCAGGCTGCAGGGGAGGGCCCGGGCAGCTCCACCTGCCTTCCCAGCTGGGACGGGTACGGGACCCACGTGTGACCGCGCTGCATTGGTTTCGTTGCAGTTACTTGAAACCAGATGAGGACAAGAAATCAAAGCACAAGACAGCGGTGAAGAAGAAGACACTGAACCCCGAGTTCAATGAGGTGGGTTTTCACCAGTTGTGGATCTCGCTCCTTGGACTTTAAATGGGGAAAAAAAACCCCAACCTCAGTCATGAGGTGAGGGATGGAGGCTGAGTTCCCCGTGGGTGGCAGAGGGCGACAGCCCAAGGAGGAGGATGGGCAGCTTCAGCCCCCTCTCGGGGTCTCAGGCCCTGCAGGGACCCAGCACAGGCTTGTCCTGACTCTGTCTCCACTCCCCAACAGGAGTTCTGCTATGAGATAAAGCATGGTGACCTGGCCAAAAAGACCTTGGAAGTCACAGTGTGGGACTACGATATTGGGAAATCAAATGATTTCATAGGTGAGTGGGGCACTCCAGAAGGAGTTTTTTGTTTTGGTTTGGTTTGGTTTTTTTTGTCTTCAACTTCTGTGCCTCTTCTTCTTTCCCCTGCTGCCCTTCTGCACTTTTCCAGCCTCCCAGTTTGTTCTCCATCCTCATGTTCATTCTTGCGAGGTCTCTGTTGTGCTTTTATCCCTCTCCTGCACCTGAGCCTCCTCTCCTGCTGCCAGCCCCGTGGCTCCTCACTGCAGACGTTCCCCATGCAGGGAGCACCCAAGCAGGGAGAAGATGCATCTTGCTCTCCCCTTCTGTTTTCAGATCTTTTCCTCTGAATAAAAGACAGGTTTAATGGGGAGGTTTCATTTATCTCTGTGGGATGTCTGGGCTCGTGATTTTGTTACTGGCCGCTGTGATTTATTGCTAACAAGCGCCTGGTACCTCTGACAGCTGCTGCAGTTGCAGTGAGTGTCCAGCCCTTGGCACAAGAACAAGCTGCCCGGGGTGGGTCCCAGACCACAGCCGTGAGGGACTGGGGAAGCCGGGCTGTGAGTGCCCGTGTGTCACATCAGGTCGTGGCATCGGGTGCTGTAAGAGCGGCTGCATGACCTGGCTCCATCCAGCATCCCTCAGCATCCCTCGCAGGGCGGATGCTCCCCCCCACCTCACCCTCTCCCTGTCTCTCTCTCCAGGTGGGGTTGTGTTAGGAATTAACGCCAAGGGCGAGCGCCTGAAGCACTGGTTCGACTGCCTGAAAAACAAGGACAAGAAAATCGAGCGCTGGCACACGCTAACGAACGAGCTGCCGGGGGCCGTCCTCAGCGACTGAGCCCCGTGGGGCTGCTCCCCGGGTGGGCACAGCTCTGCCAGCCACAGCCTTTGGACTTCTCTCGTTGACAGCTTTGGGTACGGGGGACCGTGGGACCGGGAGAGTGGGACACCCCCCGCCACGGCCCGGCTGCAGGGAAACCCTTCCCAGGGAACAAGGCAGCGGCGGTTTGCTCTGCTCAGCAGGTCCCGTCCCCTAAGGCTTTTCCAAAATGCCTCTTTGCACCCTGACACACTCAGACACGTGCTCGTGAGCGTGCACGTGCACAAACACACACACACACGCGTGTGCACACGCACACGGACCCCACACACCTGCATGCACTGCAGCTCTGACTCCTCTCCTAACTCTTGGCTGTACTGAATTACCTTCTCGCTGCCTTGCAATTCAGTGGCAAAAATGAATGCATCAGTCTCCGTCCGTGTATCTAATACGAGCAAAAGGCGTCACTACAACCTGGAACTCTCTTCTCGAGGCGATTGTGCCATATTTCTGGTGGTTTGTCAGTCTCTGTGGTTTGGGCCTAAACAGTCTTTTATGCATTTAAAGCTCCTCCATCTGAGTGAGTGTGTCCCCTCATAACCTAGGAAGACTTTTTGCTTTTCTTCCAGAAATGTTGTGCTCCTCCTCTCCACTAACCCGCGTGACGGTAGCCAGCAAGCTGAGAGCGCGCTGCAGCCCACGGCTTCTCTCACACGGTCCCTGGGATTGGGCAGCTTCACTTTTACAGAAGTTTTGGGTAAAATAAAAAGCTCAGTGGAGCCACCGGCTGTTCCTGCTTCCCGGGACCGGCAGCGAAGTCTCACGCTGCCCTCGCAGCAGCTGCTCTCATGAACCCACAGCTCCCCACTGGAGCCAGGCTTCAGCACAGCTCTTTTTCCAACAAAGCTGCCTTTCAGGCTCCATTTTTCTATCACTTTTCCCTTATTCAGCCTTTTCCAATTTGTGCCGTTACCTAAAACCCAACCAAGGTGCTTCACACCGTGAGCTGGGGGCGTGCAGCGAGCTGAGCCGCGGGGCTGAGCCGCGTCGTGTTTGCAGAGACGCTCGGCTCCAGCACGGCCGTCAGGTTGGGCCATTTTCTGCCTCAAACAGCGTCCAGACCAAATTTCTGTGTACAGCACAGAAATAATATAACAACATTATAAAAATCATCACAGCTCTTGTCCTCTGTGACCCACCACGGTCAGTCTCTGCATCCTCATCCCACCAGACTCCGGCTCTTGTGCAAATAGGACAAAATTGTGTTGGCACAAGAACCAGTGCTGGGTGGGATGAGCTAAAACTGTAATGGTCATGCTGCACCTTGCCAGAACTTTTGGAATCCTTTAAACCATGATTTCTTAGGAAAAGCTGCTGGTTCCCCATCGGTCTTAATTCCCTGCAGCTGCTGAGCCCTGTCGCTGTGTGTGGGTGCACACACCTGGGTTGCCAATTTATTTATTTGTTTATTTTAAAGCAATGGGATCTCTGGAAACCCACCTTTACTTTTCAAAGTGACGATCGAGTTACACCTGGTTTGATATGGGAGGAGAAAAAAATAAACAAACAACGTTCATAGGGTCTTTTTTAATAACTTACTGTTTGTAATGCACTCTACAGCTCTGCATGGATTTTATTTGAATGCCAGCAGCGTGTCAATAGGATGTTCCTGGTAAATCCTCTCTGTACGTCACTGGTCCAGCACCTCAAAACCTGGTTTGGGGCTGAGCTTCCAGGAGAGCTCCGGGAGCGCTGGGTCGGCCCTGCCTCCCTTTTCTTGCAGAGTTCCTTTCGATCCATCCTTTGTTTCAGCACCTCTTGCCATGAAACTGGTCCGTGCCTGAGGTGGAGTAGGACATGGGGGGTGTGTGTGTCCGTGGGTTCCTTCACTTTGTATCCCCGTCTTTTCTAAGCGGCCGGTGCGTCCGTCCGTCCGTCCGTCCGTCCCAGCTGCATGCAGAGTGGTGGTCGTCATGCCAGGCCTCGTGAAATGTTTGATACCGATGTTTTGCTACCATGTGAAGGCTGCAGAAACTGTCCGTACCTGCATCCTAAAAGACTTTTGTATTTCAGTATTACCTTCTCTGTGTACTTTTTGTCAGATTTGTTAATATTTATAATGAGAACCCAAAATAAAATGGGGAAAAAAAAGAAAAAAAAAAAAGAAAAGGAGAAGTCGATGTGACGGTGCAGCAGCTTCTGAGTGTCCCAGGTTGGTACCACGGTCCCGGGGGTGCGAGCTCCGTGCGTCAGCCCAGACACGAGAGGAAGAGCTGGGGGCTGGCCAGGGCTGGGGCAGCAGGAGGTGGTTTTAACCCGGAGGATCAGGTTATTCTCTTGGCTTTATTCTCTGCTCGCTGATCTCGTGATGCTGAAAAAAAACCCCCAAAAAACCAAAACAAAACACTGCCCTGGCGCCACGGCCCCGGCCTTCACCAGACAGACACACTCTTTACATATAGATATAGAACTATCCCCCTACACCGCTACAGCTGCAGACCCCTATATACACACACATACTCGTGCATATCTGCATGTATAAAAATAGACAATTACAGGTATATAA